AGGGCATTTGAACTTTTAGAGAATGGTTCATTTCAAATTTCTTTCCCTATGAGTCAAAATTTTGTATTTACTAAAGATTCTAATTGATTGGTGCATTATGAGAGTATGGTTCTTAAACTGATAGGCAGGTAAGGGGTAAGCTTAGGGTTATGATGTGGTTCTTTATTTTTTTGGTGTAACTGGGTGTGGAGGACAATGGAAAAACACAAAGATATTGCATGACTTCTTATGAGCTGCCACAGGACAGTGGTTTAGTGTCAAAAGAGCACAGCTGGGGAGAAGGAGCACATGCTATAATACTTTGCCCTTTAACTCCCAGGATCTTACTGTTAATTCTCTCCTCTAGCTGCTACACATTTCCTTACAAATAGGTTCTGAGAATTTGGTGTTAGATCATTGGTGTTGGATGAAAACTTCTATTTGATGAGTTTTAGTATTCTTCTTACCTGTTTTCTGGTTTATGTAAGGAAATTGTGGGGAGAAGTTACATGTTTATCAATTTTGGGAGTTGAAGGGTTAAACTTCAGGCAATCTAGTCTAATTTTTATAATGTATTCTGCATATAATATCATGCAGTGTTTATCATTTTTTTCAGTGTATATCAAGTGGTAAGCGTGAACGGACGACAGAGTCCAGCTGAATCATCCCACAAAAAAGTGTTAAAATTGAGAGAAGATAAGAAGACAGAATGGAAGAAGTTAAATTTGGAAACCAAAAGGAACAAAAAACAACAAATCCTGTCAGAGATGGAAAGTACTTTTCAAGGGATACAGATGCCAGAAGGAGGCGTACAGACGGTAAGTGTACAGTTTCAAGTAAAATTCTTTTCAAAGGCTCATGGAAAACTTTAAATTTTTAGTGCACATAGTAAACATCCAGAAAAACCTTAATGTCACTCACATATTGCAATCCTTTTCAACTTAGCTGGGAGGAGCTGGGTTTCATCATATTGATTCATTTAAATACTATTGTAAAAGTTTAACCAGATGGTTACGGAAAAAAACGGGCTTACCACAGTTAACAGATTATTCAATGAAATGAATTTGTTAAAAGTTGAATTTTTTCGTTGGATTGCTATTCAAACACACAGGCTATACACCTTTTTCTTTTATTTTGTTCTCATGATAGAAGATTTTATTGGAAAGCCTGAAGTTGAAGCAAAGCGTCCGTTCGACAATGATGGTGTCTATGAGTGTGAGGGAGCTATGGAATTTTCAACCCAAAAGGATCGCATGACAACAAGCATGGTATTGATTGTAATACTGCTCCTTGTAGTTACGGTCTTTGGAGCTGGGATTTTATTCTATGGTCAGCTAGAAAGCACTGCTAATATTAGCCATGAAGAGTCGGCTCGCACAAGGACTCTAACAGATAAACTTCATGAGCGAGGTCAAAGAGCTCGCGGTAAGTTTTATTGTATCGGTATTGACTTTAGGTTAGGACTCTTTCGATCAATTAGCCAAAACCATCATGATAACATGAGCCAGTGAGGACAGTAAGTGCACTATGAAGATAATCTGCTCAAAGCGCGGGAAAGTTCTGATGACTGAGTGGAGGATGATTTTTGATTGGTTAAAGGGCAGACAACCTTATGGACTTGAGGCCTGGTGATGTCAGTAATAGAGTTTCATAGCTGACGTTTCGAGCGTTCGCCCTTCATCAGAGCGAGTATATTTCTTATATTTGCAGTACTTTGCAAGAGCCGAATCGGGCTTGATCAAAGTGATCTGTGAAAAATTTCATCAATACTGCAATTCGCAACCTTTTATTGAGTCATTTTTTTTCATAAAAAAATAACTGTGTTAGCTTATAGAGTGGTATGTTGCTCGCACCAATCAGATCGCGGCATTAGGGTATGTATCTCGAACCAATCATATCATAGCATTTGAATATCCTAAACCAATCACAGCGTTTGGGCGTTGTTTTCTTGTAAATGATGTCATGGATCAAGGGGCTGTGCACAAAGAGTGACATTAACCATACATTTTGGGCTCATTTGATTAGTGTAATGGTTTGTGGCCATCGTGAGAGCCTCGTCGATTAAGGTCGAGAGTTATGGGGGGTATTAAAGGTAGGCATTGAAACTTTTAAGTTAAAACGTGTTTTTTCCGCTCCCTAATTCACAACGTACACGCCAAACAACTTACATTTCATTACGTACCATGAAAGCAATGTGTACTCATCAGAACATACCTAATCATTGTCCTACACGAACATTAGGCAATTTTTCACGTGCTTGAATTGTATTCCACTAATCAAATTTCATTTTGCCACATTGGACTTCGCTCTACCACGTGTCATTTTCTTGTTAACAACCTGCATTTTTGCAGCTAAGAACACTACTGAAACGCGTAGTTGAGGCCCGCACGGGATTTGAACCCATAACCTCTGCGATACAGGTGCAGCGCTCTACCAACTGAGTTAACAAGCCAACTGGGAGCTGGTCAATATGTTGGGTCCAAATAAACCATCCAAGTAATGAATGATGATTTAAGATATATGAAATTCATATATTTTCACTGCGGTGAATAGATGAAATTAAGAGATCCTCGCAGGTCCTATTTTCAACTACTCGTTTCAGTAGTGTTCTTAGCTGCGAGGATCTCTTAATTTCATCTATTCACCGCAGTGCAAATATATGAATTTCATAAATCTAAAATAACCTGCATTTTATTACGTATTCTATCAGCTTTGTCCAGCCCCACTGAAAAAAATTCACATGGAACTAAATGCTACTGATGTTGAGTTTTCCACGCAAATCTCCCGCGTTTGACTTTTCTACGAATCAAAGTCACTTTAAGCTACCTTTAACCCAATTGCGTTTTAATTCCTTGTAAAACAACCTGCATCATATCTTTGGTTAGGTTCTGTTAGAGGTACAACAGAATTTCAGTTTGCTTTTCGTGATAAAATTAAGCGGAATTACATTTTTGAGGTAACTTACTGTAGACGAGTAATTTTGATTTTTTCTCTGTTAGAGGAACGGCAGTAAGCGTTGTCTCTTTCGCAACCGTTATTTAGTCTCGTTACGCAACCCGCGCTCTCTCTCAAACGGGAAATAGAGGGCGTTGTGTGACGAGATCAAACAACGGCTGCGAAGGAGACAACAATAAGCGAGTCACCGATGCGTTTCATTTTAACTGAGAAGTATTTCGGTAAGAGAGACAATAGACCACATAATATCTGTGTGAGTTCAGATAAATTAGGTTTTTTCTGTCTTTATGCGATATTTTTGTTTTTTGAAAGTTATGCTCTTTTCGGTGACAAAAATGAAAACATCCAGAACAAACTGTCCCATCTCAACTCACCTAGCGGAAAAAATAACTCTTGCATGCAATGCATGCCTATTTTTTTTTAAATCTGCAAAATAATAACCTTCTCTTACCTTTGAATTTCTCTGGGTGTGGAGTGATTAGATGGGTTTTTGGAGGAGTTGATTCCACCCTCTTCACTGCGTTTCTCCTGATACAAAACAATCAAACAGATCGCGCAGTTTCCAGGACTTCTCAGGGCTAAGAACCTCTGGAACTTCGCTGAATTTCTCTTACTCTCACCTGTCGCTACCCTTCTGGCTTCAGACTGGTTTTGAATTCGAGAAAGATTTATCAAAGAAGACCATTTCTGTCTAATCATGTATACGTGGCAATACTGTGTGCGAACTTCGGAAATCAAGTAGACTTTTGAGGTAGTAAGAGACGTTATTGCGATTACATTTGATATGGATCTTGCATATTGATCAAACTTAAACACAAAATCATTTACCGTATCAATTAAAATGACGTCACCTAGCCTTAAATTCCTGAGGGTTGGCTGCCTGTGATTGGTTGACGTGGTGTGGCGTCAGGTGGCGTGAGGTGGAATGAGGTGTGAGATGCATTGTCCAGTCACCCGGCTTGATAATTCACATTTGAGTGAAATATCAGATTACATCATCACACAGTTAGAAACAGCTTTTTTTTTTACCTCACAAATGAAAGAGTCATTATCATTTACGAATCTACAGGAAAGCCCAACCACAAGCCACGAGAGTCGGGTACGTCAGTTCCTGTGGAGGAATTCGAAGAACATATACGGCGTCTACACGCCAACGACGGTTTGTTATTCTCTCACGAGTACAATGCTCTCAGTCCGCAGGCTGATTTCACATGGAAAGCTAGTTTGGCGCGGGAGAACATGCGCAAAAACCGTTACATCAGCATTGTTGCGTACGACCACAGCCGAGTAAAACTGTCACCGATCCAAGGTGTTCCCGGGTCTGATTACATTAACGCCAACTTCCTTGACGGTTATCAGAAAAAGAAGGCGTACATCGCCACCCAGGGACCCTTACCAGAGACCGAAAGCGACTTTTGGAGAATGATCTGGGAACAAGACTCAAGGACTATTGTCATGGTTTGTATTTATTACGGTGTTCATTATTCCGTTAACCCTGTGAACTCGCGATGGAATATCAGAGTTTGACATCAGCTTTTGAGAATCTGTCAATTTCAATTAGAATTTGTAAAATTTCAGTGTCAATTTTGATCGATCGAAATGTTTGAAGTGTGAACCCGCCATATTTGTTCCTGTTCACTTATCTTCTGATTTCCTCCTGCTTTATCATAAACCTCGTCTGTCCATCCCCTCCCAGGTAACAAACTTGGAAGAGCGTGGTCGTATTAAGTGTCACCAGTACTGGCCGCCAGAGGGTGCGAGGGTATATGGCGACATCCAAGTAACACTGAAGCAAGCTGTGAAGCTCAGTGATTTTACCATCCGTACTTTGAATCTCAAGAAGGCTAATGGTACAGATGAAAGAACAGTGAATCAGTATCATTACACAATATGGCCAGATCATGGTGTTCCCACTAGTCGTTCTTCACTCCTCAAGTTTGTGAGAAAGGCTTCTGAAGCAAATCCACCTGATGCGGGTCCCATGGTATGTACAGTGTTACTGTCTACCATTAAACGCTCTCTCCTCTCTCTCCCCTATATATATATATATATGTATATATATATATATATATGTATATGTATATGTATATATATATGTGTGTGTATATATATATGTTTATATATATATATATATACTGTCTACCATAAAACGCTCTCTCTCTCCCCTATATATATATATGTATATGTATATATATATATATGTATATATATATATGTTTATATATATATATATATATATATATATATATATATGTATATTCCGTTTCTTGATTACTTGCAATGTATAGCTTTCGTTTTTTAATTAAGATATAGAGAAGAGTTATAAAGAGAATAATTACAATAAGATAAAGAAAATGGAGAAGGGCATAATATAGCAAACTAATTAGATGCCCTTTAGGCTAAATTACATTTTTTCAGACAGTAAAACAAAAGCGATACATACATAAGAAAGGGAAAAGGAATCACACCTTTAACAACAAATATATTAATAGTGCATGGTCAAGTTTCCTTATAGACCGATTTTTATTCGGGTCGAAAAGTATCCAAGGGCTTGTTTGGTTTTCATTTGCTTCCCATTGGTCCAGCAACTTCTACCCGAATAACTGATCAGGAGCAAAGCTATGGTGACTTCTCACCCACTTTTTTCCGCGCTACAAACAAAATGCTTGCTTTTACTTTAAGCTCTTCGAAGATAATTTCCTTGGCTCTGGTCAGCCGCTGGGACTATTTTGATATTAGCCAACCCAATAGAAAATCCTGCTATTTATACTGATAGAACTTAGCTTCGGGTTCTGTGTGAACCTACCTAAAGTTGAGAAATGTTGTTGTTCAGATATAAAGGATAGTTCAGGTGAGTGTTGTAGAGGATGAAGATTGAGAATACGAAGCGATTTTTTCGAAGATACTAATCAGAGCAAATGCGGCTCTTTCGGACTGCAAACAATCCATGCTGTACTCTCCACTATGTTAATGTAATCCAGGCACTTGTAGACACAAGCATTCTGCAAACTAAACAGACTTCAGACAAATAGCGCAAGTTGTTTTTCAGCCGTGTTTCCGCCGAGTGATTATTTAATTGACGACTGGGATAGGTTCCTTTCTAGCCTACGAGCAGGCGCTCATTATTAACACTTCGGCAGGGGCGGTTCTTCGGCAGGGGCGGTTCTTCTGTGGGGACGGCTCTTCGGCAGGGGCGGGCAGCAAACCTCTTCCCAACTCGGGGTGGAGCAACGTGCAAGGCAAATAATGAGGACATGCTTACTGGCCAGTCATCCTTTCACGCTCGGAATAATTGGTTTAAGTGGGAAGAAAGTGTTTTGTTTCATTGTTCAAGGAACCACTCACTTAAACTGATTTGTTGCTTTTACTTTTATTCGGGTCGTTGGTCTTCGAAGGAAAACTGTAAGTAATACCTGGCAAGGGTAGACAAACTCCAGAGGGGTAAGAATGAATTAAAAAGGGAACAAGAATTTATAAAGATAGGGATAAAATTGTAACATTTAACAAGATGTGATGTAGCCCTTTACCAGTTTTGGCGTCTGCTTCCTCAGGTTGTTCATTGCAGTGCTGGGGTGGGAAGGACTGGTACTTTTATAGCAATACATGCCATGTTACAGCGTCTTGCTGCCGAGAAATCAGTCGATGTATCTGGATACGTTATGTCACTGCGACGTGATAGAAATGCCATGGTATACGTACAGGAACAATATGCTTTTATTCACTATGTTCTGTTGGAGGCCATCAAGTCTGGAAACGCTTGATACGTGCAAAAATCGTAGATCACATATTGATAATAATAATAATAATAGTAATAATAATAATAATAATAATAATGATATTAATAAAAATAGTAATAGCAAGGCAGAAGACAACCCCAGTGAAGTGTTTCAAATACTGGTATCTTAGAGAGTTTAGCTTACTTAAATAAATAAATTCAATAAATAAATTATTATTCAATAAATTGAGTAAACATTTCTATCCAACTTCCTTTTTACACAGCTTTTACCGTTTATTTCTTTTCTCACTCCTTTTTACATTTGTACAAGTTTAGCGTTATACTTACTAGTGCTGCAGTCAGTTGTCCTGTTTGAAAAAGAAATCTTCGCTCTGAACTAAAAACCTACATAATCCTTCCAACTTTAAAAAAATGTACTTAAGAGAGCGTAAAACACTCCTCCCTCGCAACCAACTCAGATTTTATCCAAAAGAAGGTGATCTACGTGTGTCAAATAATCTCCAAATAAGGAATAAATATATGGAAACTAAACTTTCCCCGAGCCTAGCTTTATGTCGATCTTTGTATTCTAAATCTTTTTAGTTGCCAAAAAAATTAACATGAAAGCGAAAATTCTCCCTGTGCAAAGCAATTCACTCAGATTTGAACATAACGATGCGATATTTCTATCTACCTTCGTCAGGTTACTTATTTGCCCCCAACTTGAAAAGTTAAAATATGAAAACGCCTCCTAAGTACTCAGATCTGCCTAAACGATTCTTGTGTCATCTGTGATCTTTTCATCTTTGTTTTGTCTTTGTTTCATACTTCAAACTTGAAAAGCATCAAATACAGTGGTGGAAACTCTCAACGTGCTTAGCAGCGAACTCAGGTTTGGTCAAAACGATCATCAAAAATCCACTTTATTTATCGTCAGTATAATGCAAATTAAAAATTATTAAAACTGTGCCTACTTATTAACTCAAGTTTTCCCAAAAATGAACCTCAAAACTTGATTTTTGTTCTACAACCTGCTTCTCGTTTACAAAGTTGTCATTAAAATGCTGTATCTACTACTGGAGTTGAATTGTTGCCATCAACAGCTGGATTGGGGATGACGTTTTCTTCAACATCAGTGAGCTGGTCATTCTGAACTGGATTGAAAGCTTGGCCGTTGTGGATTGAACCATTTGGATGTTGGCCATTTCGGAGTGAAACATGGCTCGGCAGAATAGTAGGGCTCTGAGTAAACGGCAAGGTTTGCCTCTTTGCTGATGTAGATGAGGACCAGCCGTCTCCGTAGCTATCCAGTGGATATGCGGGCTCACCGTGTTTCGGAATATCAAGACCTGCATCAAGGAAATGTTTTTCGCTTTGTGACTTTCATCCGATTACTATTATCAAATATCGATTTGAAGAATCTAAAGTCTTACTTAGGAATATCTTTTTGATAGTAAGAATAGTAATAATGCCAGCATAAACTACCTAGCAAATCCTCTCTCGGCCCCAATCCCCATTCTAAAAATTTACACTCAAGCTTCTCACCTTTCAACTCGATTTCTTCGCTGACTCGAAGCTGTTTTGTGAGGCGCAAAATAATAAAAAGGATGAAAGCCAGTACTGAGGACCAAGCCAAGATGACAATTACTCCTAGCAAGTTCCAGCCAAACAAACGGAATGAATGTTCGTCTGCGGCGTAAAATATTCCAGATTCCTTGTTGAAGATGGGAACAGACAGTACACCCCAAAAACCACCTCCGAGATGAACTGAAAAGAGATAGGAAAAGCACAAAAACAACGTCTCAAACATGAGCACTGAAATCCGAATTATATCAAATAAATATATGAATAGATTGTATTTATCAATCGACGGAGTTGCACATTCGTGTTCATTGGAGAAATGACCGCTTCATTTACACTCTGTATAAGAGATGTTAAGGAGATTCTTTCAGTGGTGAATTAATGTGCAACTCATCTCCCTTTTCCTTCCATCCTTCAAAGATTAGGCTATGTTAAAAGCGGTTTAGAGCAGTTAACATTCACTTAAGGTTACGTTTGGTTCTTCCATGTCACTTACCAGCGACAGCATCTAGGGGGTCATCAATCTTTACACGAAGCATGACAGTACTCCAAGCCACGTACGCCATCCCAGCGATGATACCAATAACAACAGCAGCATAGGGATGCACGACATTACAACCTGCGCACATGGCAACCTGAAAAAAAACAACCTCATTTAGGTTAAGTGTAAAGCTGTTTAAGGAACATCTTGTTCTTTTTTTTCTTCAGGACAAGAGCTGTTGTCTCCATAACGGCCTTTGCTTTATCCCGTCTCCCCTCGCGCTTTCTGGAGGGGGTGAGAAAGCGTTACATGCCGGGACAAATCAACAGAGGTGAAGGAGGCTTCATAAACTGAAGCTTCTTTAGAGTTAGTTGGCTGAGGTCGAGGAACCAAAAGGAACAAGGATGGTTTTGAGTTTGCTAGTGGACTTAAAACTCGTGGAATGTCTTCCATAGCCGTTTTATATGGCAACTCTGAACATTTTTAACTTACCATTCCTGTAAGTCCACCATTGATCGTGAATAGTAAGCTCCAGTACTTGTCTGCAAATCCTAGACGTTTGATGAGCATGGCAGTTAGTGCACCTGCAGCTCCTGAAGAAAAATCGAATAAATAAGATTAATTCACTATTCTTGTATGTTACAGAGTGTGACTTGTCGCTTGTCGTGCAACAGTTGTTGTTGACGTATGCGGGTGGTAGTGTGCATTCTTCGTAAGATGTACGTTATTTGCTAACGTTACAACCTTCCTTTCCGCTTAGTCTAAAGCTTATGGCGGAAGTTTGCTTTATGCTGAAAGCAAGTACGGAATACCATTGATCGCAGTCTCACGATTTAATTTTGCTTTCGAGTCGGACTGACTGGGTGGATGGCGCGAGTCGATTCTTGTTTTATTTATTTTGTTTCATGTTTTTTTTGTCTTTGAGAAAACTATTAACGATTACTTCCGACACTCACCAAAACTTTCTCAATGATGGGCTATGATTTTAACGATTAAGTACAGGGGACTCACCTCCAAGGACAGTGTTGACAATGGCCAAGGCTACAGCATTTGCATCACCCTCATTTGCAATGGCTGCCTGGGAGCCACCATTGAATGCCAGAAAACCAAAGAACAGGATGAATCCTCCCAAAGCTGCTTTCTGAATAGTGTAAGAATAAACGATTAATTCACTCATGGCTCAGACCTGATGAAAAAGAAAGGGGCATCAGTTGCACTGCACTGATAATGTCCTAAAGCCTTGGTCTTACACCCTACACATTTAGCTACTATCCCTAAGGATAAGACTTGAACTGACGTCTCCAGTCACAAGGTAACGAAAGACCAATGATAAGCGATTAAACGACTTGAGATTAATTCTAGTTCAGTTTAAGCGCAACCAGCTTAACTATATTAGCAGCAAGAATTCCTCATTTCGTGCAAATACAATCGTATCGATATTAAATCTCCTAATTATAAATAACAAATTAAGTTACTTCACCGGCACTGTATGGCCTGAAATCACTACAGGGACACCATGAACGAATCTTCCTATTCTTGGCCCCACAAGACCTGCTCCAACCAACGCCACAGCACCACCAACAACATGAACAACCCCACTACCAGCAAAGTCCTATAAAAGAAAACGAAAGTGTAACAGAAACACTAACAGTAACAACAGTCACTACAAGAGTGTACAAGGAAAAATAAACTCCAGGCACTCCAACATTAGGTTCACTAAGGAAAAAGAGATATATCATAAAATACCATTCCTAAATGTTTTAATCAACATTGACACCCATTTTCCTGTTAGAAGTGTTTACAGTGAGAAAACCTTCACGGGCCTGTTGACTAATTATTTAAACTTTGTATCTTATTCTTATAAACTGGGTCTCATTCGCACTCTTGTAGATAGAGCCTACAAGATCAACAACTCATGGTTGGGTTTCCACGAAGATACCAAGAAACTTACTGAAATCCTTAAAAAAAATCTTTTTCCAGCCCATCTAATTGAAAAGGTTGTCAGTCGTTACCTCACGCTAACCCGTAACGAGTGCACTCCCCCGGTTTCCGACCTTTTATTTCAAATTACCTTACATTGGCCCTTTTTCTGTTGTCACACAAAAAAGGGTTCGCCACTTTGTTGATCGTTATTGTTATAACATAGATATCAAGCTGGTCTTTTCATCTTTTAAAATAGGTAATATGTTTGGTGTTAAAGACCCTAACCCTTGTGGGCTCCATGCGTGTGTGGTTTACAAGTTTTGTGTGCGGGCTGTAATGCCTGTTATATCGGCGAAACCTCACGGCATTTATCCACACGTGAGCAGTGATAGGACCTCTCACATTTTCAGACATTTACAAAATCCTCAACAATGTCGTACTCTATTTAACCCTTTGAGCCTTAAGAGTGACTAACATTTAAATTCTCCTTACAATGACTCCCATGAATCACACATAAAGGTCACAAGAATGAAGGAAATGATCACCAACTAAAGAATCCCTCGATTGTTAAACAAATTCTCCTTGTCAGCACCTTAAGAAGTGTGTGATGAACAGTATGGAGAATATGCATACTAATGTTAGGGTGTAAAACGTTAATTTAAAATAGAGTGCGACACTGTTCTATTGTTTTATTGTTCGATTTGTTCTATTTTTTGTTTTTTCTAATGAGCATTTTGTTACACACTTTAAGTTCAACTTTGTACTTTGTATAAATCAGAACTGAAGATGACAGAAGGACTGTCGAAACATGTTTTTAAGAAATATCGTATATTTTCTTAAATTCGTGACATATCTGCTGCTATCCAAACCCTATGAAATAAGTCATTCCCCGATGTTGCAGTTTGCGGTTTCTTTACGTGCAAAATGAATCTTCTCTAAAGTTTCCTCGCTGACTGGCTTTATTTACAGGACAGACCAGTTCACCAGCCAGACCCAAGATTCTATAAACTGGTAATCTCTTGCGAGAACCAGTTTTGTCAGTTTTGGAAATTTTCAACACCCTTTAGTTTCAGAGCAGTAAAAACCAGCTGGTTCTTTGAAAAAGGAAACTCCAATTTTTTTTTTCTTTAGGTAGAGGTTTTTTCCAATGTTTTTGTTAATAGTTGAACTTAAAAGACAATTACACAAACTTTATGACGTTTTACCTGGTATGTAACAGACATTGTTATATTGTCTTTAGTGTACTGCAAACCAGTGGCCAGCCAACCATTTCCATCCCAAGCCCAGTGAGT